CTCTGACTTCTGTCCTGACTCGAGCTGTAATCAACCAGCCCTATCAAATTGATGATAAAGACTCCTGAAGCCCATGAAAAAATAATGCATGGACCATTGACTCTATTAATAGATATAAAGCTGGATATGGATCCAAAATAATCCTAAAACCTTGGACTGCATGCATAGACTATCCCCACCTAATGGGAGGCGAACAGAGAATGGAAGCAAAATAATAAGAGCATCAGTCAAGTTTTTTATTCTGACCTTATTGTGCAAAAGTTTTTTCCAATTAAAGTCAACTTGATCACTGAGCTCCCACCCAAAATTTCTACAATCCTGTAAAGCAAAGGCCACCTTGACATGTTAAGCATCGAAAATCATATACTGTGGTCCGAAAAGGTAAATAATGAATTTCCATCAGAAGGTGAAAATAGAGAACATGAAAGTATAACCGTCATATATTGCAAGATCCTTGATTGCAGAACAATGAAAACCAAAATTATCAGTCATACTAGAAGGATTTCATGTACATAATAAACTAGTTTTGGTGTATTTGTTTTCACTATCTGCAGCTGTGCATATAAACAAAACATTTTTCTTCCCATTTCCTCCTTGAGAGTCAGTATATTCTGAAATTTAAGACCAAAAGCATAAATCGGGCATCACATATATAATGCAGCACCCCACTAACAGAAATTAAATTTAAACAAAAAATGTTGCAATATCCTTTTAAAGAACCACTTTAGAAGCCAGTGCTGGAGGAAAAGAAAGAAAGAGAAACTAGTTTGCAAAAATCTACTCCAAACATATGCATCAAGCCACCGCAAACACGATTCAATTCCAAATAACTTCTTCTACCTTTCTGTTAAATCCTCCATAAGAAAGGTACACATAGCTAGCAGGCAAACCCATTGTTCCCCAAGAAAATAAAAAGCACATTATAAAAGCTGCAGGAAACAGGACATGCCAAAAAAACAATCATGACCATGACTACAATAATACATGACACGTATTAGAAGATAGTGCTTCGTTAAGCCTCTGCACCTATAACAAATTGTTGTTGTTTATCTTATGGAGAACCAAGGACATAGCAAAAGCTTTATCAAAACTTAGCCTTCAAATTTTAATTATGTGAAGAAGGATCAAGCAATGAAAACACCCACTCAAAAAAAAAAAAGACAAAAACAAAGAGGTGTGCCAGAAAAGATATCACTGTGGCCATGCCCAGAAAAAGACAAAGGCATAACATAACTAATGTCAAAATTATTCATGATAATCTAGACAATTTGCAGGAAAATACAACAATATCCTGTAGTCAAGGCAATGATTATAGACACATAATAACCGAGACTAGAGCAGCCTACAACCAGCCTCCCAAATCCAATATCCCAACCATACAAAGAAATCTCACATTAACATATCTAACCATTCTGCAACATTGAAGAAATTAGAAACAAAGACAAACATTACATGGCATACCTGTCAAACAAGCCTAAAAAAGAGCAGTTCATCACCTAAAAAGCATAACCTCTAAGAAATCAACACATCAACACAGAGACCAATTGCATTTTTTATCAAACACAAGAGACAGCAGATTCAATAATATACAAGTGTAGAACTCATGCTATAGAACATGGTATAAGGATTAAAACAAGTAGCATATAAATAACAAAAAAGTTACACCCTACACTCAAATCATAAGATAAATGATGGTTCTTTCCCAAATATTACCAGGGTTCAATAAATTTAGGCCAAAAAATATTTAAGGAACTGATAATGGCCAATTAGTTGATGTGCCTTGGGAGTTGGGGTCATGGTAAATTTGCTCCTGTGCAATCAACATGAATAGAAGTAGAGTCACAAATATAGTCTCTACTTATAAAATTAAGGCTGCATATATTAACTTTTCCTAGACCGAGACCCAAATGATGTGAGCGTTGTGCATTAGAGCACCCTTGAAATGGTCTCAATCGATCGCAAGAACCATTATCACAAACTTCACATCCAGCATCAGGTTAGCACAGTCAATTTTTTTTATTGTGTGGAAAAAAATGTTAATTCAGTAAATATTTGTGAAAAATGCAAATAATAAATATTGAAGTACAATAACAAATGGGAAACATGAATACTGAAATTGTAACTTTAATTGTGACATACAAATCTATCTATGACATTCACAAATAGTTCATCTAATTTGTTGATGATTTGGGAATGATCCATACACTGATAATCTCGCAAATCAAATAAACCACAGAACAATTCACCCATGGAAGAAAATTACATATGATTCCCTAAATTTTTCAATAATGGTGAAATTCTATGAGCACCAATCATTCATCTTTTTTTCACACAAAAGATCATATGCTTGTGCCAAATGGTCCAAAAATATTTTTATCCCATAGTGCATCAGGAGTTCGGGACTAGAGAAGCCTAAACCAGCAGACAATATAAACAGCAACCGTTAACAGTAACCAGAAAATAAAGTGATGAAAATAGTTGGGAGCATGTGTACATTTATGGATAGAATACAAAGAACATAGGTGTCAGAAATCCCTGAAGCAGCTTCCTATTCGAATTACTGCCAGGGAGCAGAGATATAGGATATGCTTGCAGTCACATCTCACAAGCCAGAATTTGCTGAATAGCATAATATTGGGTAAAATTAGAGCAGTTTAAATATGTGGCCAAGATCATACCTCAAATTCACCTCTAAACTGTGCACCATAAACCAGAATCTTTTTAGGGACACATCCACGTATAACACACCTGAAAATCATATGAATTATGAGCAGAAAGTGCAATTTCTTAGCTTCCAAAACCTTCCTATCAAAAAGGAAAAAATAGAACAGTTCTAGCAAGCATAAGCTATGGATAGGACTATAGAACACAAAGATTCTACAAACCAAAGGCACACACAACTGACAGAAAATCACTGGAGTTTCTGTAACAAAACCAAACACGTGTGTGTTTCTATATCAAAACCACAAAAGAAGGAACCAAAGTTTATATATCGAAACCAAACACACATGGAACAGACAAAAGATCACTAGAGTTTCTATACTAAAACCAAACAAATGAAAGCAGGAGCAAAAATCAAACTTACGTTCCACCAATTCCTCCAATGACTTCCGAGCTGATGGGATGAAAAGGAAGCTCACAAATGGCAACCTGCATCAAGATTTTACAAGCAGGCAGGTGAAAATTCAAATCAACTACTAACCTACCCAGAAGAAGTCTGAACTAATGAACCAAATCGTATCAAACAGGTCAAATAAACTGAAGACTTGAAATCAAATAAATGTATGTGCAAAGTCAATAGATTTACTTCCCAAAGAATAATCTCCTCCAATAGCCGAGTAGCAATCCCACTTTGAAGCACAGACCACGAAGTAAATATCGAAATTAACAAAAGCAAACCAACAGATGCAAAACAGATAATAATTTTTTGCTATAATTGGACCGTGGCCATAACACACTGGTTACAGGTATCCAAAGCTGGGATCTCTCTCTAAGCTAACAAATCATCATTCACATACTATATGTTAGTTTACACGATCATACAGACCAAAGACCAGCCAAACCGTCGATTGTAAAACTCTCTTGAGATAAATCATTCCCCAAACGCACAAAAGATACAAAGTAAAGATTTTTGCAAGGAAGAAAAAGAAAAGGGAAGCAAAAAGAGTCGTAATCCCTGACCTTGGCTCCAAAGGAAGCAGAAGTCCGAGAAGCGCGAACGCCGCCGCTTCCAGCCCCGATGACAAAGAGGTCGAAATCATACTGTTTCTCTTCTTCTATGGTCTGGCCGAGCTCTCCATCAATCAGCATCTTCCGCGCCATGACGATTCCCCGTTGATTCCAACCCCAACCAGACGAACTTCTCAAGAATGTTTCAGACCGTGATCAAATGGATTCAGATGCTCGGAGACAACGCAGAATTACCCAAAGGAAAAGAATAGCACGAGAGGCACGAATCCCGATCCCGACCCGATCGGCACTCCGTCAACCAAATCCACCGATTGCGAAGTAGGCAAACCGAAACTGGACTTCCACCGATAGGCAACAGTTCGATTTCGAGACGATACGATCGCTTCCATTGTATCTTCCAAACCTATCTATCAAACGGCTCCTAAGGTTCCACGTAGTATTTACTCTATCACCCATTTTCAATTTTTGCCCTCGAAATTTACCCAATGCCGTACCCGATTGTTTGATTGGATGATAATTCGCCGCTCGAGGAGGCTCCACTGTACCGAAACGCAGGGCGGCGGGCAAGACGTATATAATCAATCTCAGCCGTAGAATTTTCCAATGAACGGATGGGATGTCGCGATCAGGAGAATCACCTTAATAAGTGGCTCTTCGGTCAATCAAATGGTCGAGTCTCTTTTATCGCATCACCACCGTTGATATCGTTGTGGAAGTCGATCTCGTCAAAGTAAGACTTTGCTTCGGAAGGGACCGAGAGAGGAGATTTAGTTTGACGTTGACTAGTAAACAAAGGGTCGAAAACGTTTTAAATGTGGATGTTCATGTGGGGAAAATGTTTTAGATGTTGATGTTTATGTTGGATGAAGCCGTCGGCGCTGCCCTCATAGGAAAAGGCCATTGTCAATCTATGATACTCGTAGTTCTAATGAGAAGATTTTCGCATACCACTTGTTATATGTAATTCTAAAACTGAGTTTATTTTGATTGAGTGGTGAAAAAAATGATGTTGGAGGAAGAAGATATATGTTCATTCTTACATGCACAATGAACTCCTATCATCTAAAACATTTAAGATATTCTTCAAATTCTTCCTAGATATATGATCATCTTTTGAGGTATTACAACATTTTTCACAGGTATTTTGCTTCCTTACAAGATAATCTTCATCAATCCAAAAATATCCATGACCATCTATTACTAAATTAAGTTTATTTTCAACATCAAAATGATAGGACAACTTGATCCTCCAAATGGAGGGTCGATAGCCATTGGATAGGGCTCCTCCTCCTGGATTTGGCCAAATGCTGGAAGACATCATCAGTGAGAACATTTTTAAGTCTCAATCTCAATGATATACTATATTCATGTATTTCTTTCCCCCCTCCCTTTATTCTGCCTTTACTCTCTATCCTTTATTCTACTGCTATGAACTATTCATCTATGTTCTGGGTTCCAATCGTATACAGCTAAATTTTGATCTATGTTTCCTTGATTGTTTATCATGATTGATGGTTTGATCTTGGTCGATGAAGCAAACAGTAGAAGACCAACTTACCAAGTTTATATCTTCAATAATACCACCTCTTTCAATGATATATTGGGATATGTGTACAAAAGCAATTACCACAGCTACTGGTATTTGCAGACTGATGCTTCACAAGGAGTCTGTCATGAAGAAGAAAACACAAATGTGCAGGTCCATTAAAATTTACATAATGCTTTGTGGCTGAAGGCCGCAATAAGGACACAAAAAAAATCTCATCTTGACCATATATTAGTCAATTGAAATTTGATAACCATGCCACAGAAGAAGAGAGTGATGGCAAAGGAGGAACAGAACCAGTGTTGAACAGTGAGGAGAAACCTCGCTACCTGTTTGAGACTGGGTTGGGGCCGCTGGGGACCTCATGCTCGGTTTCTTGGAACTTGGAGGTGGTGGTCGAGGTGGAGTTCTTCGGGTGTAGCTTCATGGACTGAGATGTGGAAGGAAACAGCAGGCGCCGCGCAGAGGAGGAGACCACCGAAGTCTTCAAGCGGTCTGTTGCTTGAGTCAGTGGCAGGAGAAAGAGGCACAGGAGCAACCAATACAGCAGCACATGTGATCTCCACATTCCTTGTTCTTTTGCCATGCAGGGATCAGTCGCAGCACCAGTAGCCCACGAGGAGACAGCATCCATGAACCACTTGAACCAGCAACGAGGGTGAGCTTTCAACTCAGTAGCAAAGAAGGTGCTGATGAGAAGCAAGGCCAAAGCTTTAGACATGAAGTAGGGAGGGAGGGAGGAAGTTACATGACTACCCCTTTCACTCACCATTTGAATTGATTGGTTCTTGAAGACCCCATTAAGTGAGAACAGGTGCCTGCATGGATGTGTCAGCTAGACTTCTGTCAAAGGGGCAGCCACTCTGAGACCTGTCCTTACGAGGCCTCGAATGTTGAGATCATAATTACCTTCAACATAAATGATTGCACGCGTAAGCTGGATATGGGTGACACCAAAAGATTTGTCTTGAGTGTTCTATACTGTAGATCTTTTGATGACAGAGGATGAAATGATTCAACCCAAAAGAAGCCAACTGATGGTTCATGGTTGGAGGGTGTAAGGTTGCATAATATGGGGTAACTTTTTGGTGGTCAGTGATCAGTCTATTTCATCTTTACAGCATGACTGCCAAGAAGTCCATTGAAGTGCAGAACTGATGATAGAACCATCTGGATCTTGTTTGAAAGTGTCAGAGTGAGAGAGAGTCCAGCTAAGTTCAGGTATCAGCAGTTAAAGACCACTCTTAAACTCACTTAGCTTGTGAGATGACTGCAAATCTAAAGATCCATACTAGCCATTTGGACATCAAGCTAGAGGAGCCAAAACAGAAACATCTGCTTGTGAAGCGACTTAGCTAATCTAGCATTCAATGCAGTACTCGGCTACTTTAGTGATAGGAAACTCAAAAGGAACAAGTGCTTTGGGAATTGAGAACAAAAAGTAAATGTGATGGCTTCTGTTGGTGGATGGTTTCCATAAGAGAACTGTTTGATACTGCAGAAAACCCCCAAGTGAGAAAAAGGATGATATGAGGGAAGGCTTGGCAAGCTTTTACAAAGAAACACAAAGTAAGGCATCCAATTTTAAGCATTCACCTGCCTATATTCTGTGAAGAGAGGAGAAACTTTTGTTGGGTATGCAATCATTTAAACTTCTTTGCTACAGTAAAGAAAAGGAGAGCTTGATGACTTCCTCTTTCACAACTTGTATCTTTTGACTTCTTCTTGTGACCAAATCCTTTGTGATTATGTAGAGTCACTTTTGAATATTTATCTTCATCTCAAGACAATGTGGGTCATAAGCCATCTTTTTCTAGCTCAAGGAATAATTGATGTCTGATGTTTTATATGCTTGAGATGTGCCCCACAAACACCTTTAGGATTTGGTGAATGAGAAAGTGAAATCTCACTTTTGTTTCTTTCATCTTCCACTCACAATGCTAACATCATAAGATGATTAGGAAGCTTGATCTGGTGTTGGATTTAGAGATTTGGCATCCTTATATCAAAATAGAAACAACAACAAAGCTCTATATATTACCCAGATGCATGCATTATGGAACTTTTAGCACCATGTCTTTGCAAAGTTCATAGCTTCTTGCCCTCCATTTTAAGACATACATGAAATATTAAGATTTCTTTGGCAATGGATAACTTGATAGCAAATTCAGGTGGAATAGTTGACTTCAATCCACAGGGATAAAGCTGCGAGAAAGCAGTAGTGATACGCCCACTGAGTCATAGCATCTGATACGCGAGCATTTGGATCAGAATGCTGGAAAATATCTGGGATTCTGTGAATCATATATAATGCTGGAAAAGACATATCAACTGCTGTTAGGAATCTTTCTTGAAAGAATGGCCTGAGTGCAGTTGGATGAACATATCAGACAGGTTTAAAATGTTAGAACTACTCATCATTATTGATAGAACAGCAACTGGTAAACCTAAAAGGTTAACATTTATATGAGAAGTAATGTCAACCTTCATTTTGTGGAGAGGAAATTGGAATTTTAGCTCTCCATTTTTCACACTCCCACGGGAGATGGGAGAGGCAATTTCTGTGATTATTATCTGAAGCAATATATCTTGGTGATATTTTTTCCGTTAAATATTTCCTGTCTCATCTGATATTTTTTATTTTTTTTAATACCCTAAATATCTTTTGCTATCACCTAACAATCTCCCTCGTCACTTTCATCTTATCGTAAGGTCTCGTTACTTTCGTCCCGCTGTAACGTCTTCGTCCAATCATTTTGATCTTATTGTTTTCATAGTATTATGTCTATCTCCTTCCCTTTTGCAAGGTCTTACAGTTTCGATACTATAACTTTTGTTCAATCATAATTGTTTTCTTCTCTTCTACTTTGGTTTGTCTGATTTCATATATATATATATATATATATATATATATATATATATATATATATATATATATATATATATATATGTATATTAGAAAAATTAATATTTCTAGTAACACTGAAAAATTGAGGCTAAGTCCAACTACATCAAAGTTTTTAGAAAGATAGGATGTCGTAATTATTTATATATTATAATATAGGTATTTATGAATTTTATTAATGATAACGTGCTTATATATTTGTGAGGTGTGCTTATAATTATCTTATTTATTTTCTTTAATAAATTTAGGAATATTTTAAGTTTAGTTTGATGAAAGTTAGAAATAATGAATACAAACGAGAGAGGAAGACAAAAAGAATGATTAACCATGAGAAATAGTTCCACCTAATATAATTGAGATGATTCATGGAAGACAAACCAATTATGTTTCGATGGCTCTCGATCCACCAATTCAAAAATATTTAAAAAATTTATTACCCCTAGTTAATTTCTAAAAATTAGATAGCTCCACAAAAAAATTCATAAAGTTAGCTCTTTTTTTTCTAGATAAATCATTTTAAAAATTGTTAATTATAAAAAATATAGTAGTAATAATAATAATAGACATTTTAGTACTAAACTTATATCAAATGACAAAAATACTCCTATGTCTTCCATCAGTCACCTTCTATCATTGTAACTATCATTGTTGCCCCTTGCTCGAGCGTGTCATGCCTCTTTTCTTCCCCTCCCCCCTATATTCATTGAGGAGGCGACTAAGGGATGCTGGTGAGGGTACCAATGATTAAGATAGCGAAGAGGTAATCGTTTCCTCCTTGTTGAAACATGTTGCCTGCAAGTGGCACTGCATAGAAACAATAACAGAGGAGAAGAAGGGGGCAGGAAAAAAAAGTCGAGCGCTACTTATGATGGGAACTAAGTGCGAGTGGTAAAAGCCATGGGTGGTGGCAATAGTGGTCACGAGCGATAACGACAGAGACGATGATAAATGATGGAAGGTGATAGATATTTTCATCGAGTCAATGAAAAAAAGATGCCTCATGTAAAAAATCTATTAGAAGGCATCATTTGATAAAAATCCAATTGCAAGAGTTTTTTTTAAGGTAAAATATTAAATAATACAAATATTTAAAAAATTAGTTTTTGATTGAAATATATATATATATATATATATATATATATATAAAAGGAACGCAATCAAACATCCCCCACCAATTGAGCTGTCGTGAACAGCTAATCCTACACCATCCTTTATTTGCTTTTTTTTTACGATAAAAAAAAAACATAGGATTATTCCTGAAGAAAGCATATACTTTTCGAAATTTCCTATAGAGCCCCTCTACTTTGAAAAATTCCAAAGCAGCGCCCTTTGTCGTGTGAAAAAACCATTTTACCCATTCTTTCGTCGAATCCATCGCCGCCTCCGTCATCGCGCGAGGGCTCGTCGTCGCCCGTAGCCCCCCTCCTCTGTAGCCCTCGCACAAGGGCTGGCCGCCCCCTCCACCGCGTGCGGGTCGCGCCCCCACCGGCTTCGGGCGAACACCATCGGCGCAGGCTACTGGGTTCTGACGAAGGCGACGACGTAGGCGGTGGTCGACAGGCTGGGCTGAGCGAAGGCGAGGCACAGGGGCGGCGGTGGAGGAGTAGAATGGTCATTTAACATAGAGCGTTTTTCGAAAATTTTCAAAATAAGGATGCTATGCGAAAAGTTTCGAAATATAAGACCTTTTTCTCCAAGAATTCGCACAGGTCGTTTCCTCGGCTGCCAATTTTAGCGATCATCAAAATTAGGTCTCCTTCCAAACCCCAATTAATCCCGCCTTTCCCCCTCTATAATCGCATCTTATCGTCGATCCGGAAGCTATTGCCTATTTCTCGTGGTTTTTCTTTCTTTTTTTTCTCTTCTCCTAAGGCCATCCACGACGATCCAAGGTCAATCCTCCACCTCCCCCAAAGGTAGCATTTCGAAGGAAAAAGGCCAATCTAGTTATTGTTTCATGGATCGCGTAATGTTGTTGTTGTGTTGATTCTAAGATTTTCTTTTTTGTTCGGGAAGGGAGGAGATCGAGGTAGTACCTGGATTTCGTCGTGGGGAAGGCAAATAGTTTTTTGATTTGGATTTGGATCTGGTTCTGATCAATGTTCAGCTGTTGCGTCTCCGTTCCTGAGGACTGGGGGGAACCTGATGCTTTCTATGCGATCAGGCCCGAATGCCGCGACGATGTTCCGGCCTCTCGTTTCAAGCCCACGGTATGCTACCTATGTTGTATATTGAATGGTTAACATAGAACGTAGAGAGCAGTTTCTTAAATTTTATTATACCATAGTCAGATTTAACGATCGAAGAGAGAAATAACCACCATCTTAATCCTAATAATTGAAAATGCCCTCGGAAATTCTGCTGTAAAAGAATGTTCTTTGCCATTCATCTTGTTTGATCCACAGTCCCCAGAAGAATGCTGTGGGTGGATCTGAACAAAAGGAGGTGCCCCTAACAGTTTGCAGTGTGTGAAAGGGGAAGTCGTTCATTTTAGTTTCGTTCACTTTACTTCTCTGTTCCGTTGCAGGATTAGCATAAATCATTTATGCTCTCCATCTCCGAGTAGTTATGTTTTTGTTTCCCAATTTATGTTTCTGCTCTAGGTATCTAAAAAGAATTGGTATGATTCCATGTGTCACTTTTATAAATTTGGTGTGCGTCTTACGTAAAATCTGAAACTTGATAGCAGCAAGTTTGAACATATACTTGCTTTAAACTTTGTACTAATGATTTATGTATTAACTGATGTTTGTTAAATTTCAACTGAGGTTGAGTAACATGAGAAAAATTTGA